CCCAACAGAGCTTTTAACCAAAGTATGAGATGAGAGCCAGAGGATGCAGACAGCTAAACAGTGGAGCCCAAGAAAACAATGAACAGACTATGGTCTTGACGCACCAGTGGCCTGATCATTCTCAGTCTTTCCTAGGCATAATAGGAAAAGGTGCCACCCTACTCCTTTTTATGCTCTGCCTTTCAATCAGTGGGAAAAGAAAGAATGATTTGCCACCATGGGACAAAGGCATCCTATACAAAATTCACACAACAAGTGTATGGGTTGCTTAACCAAGAAAATAGTCTCAACAGTAATGAGTTAGTTACTGATTAAATGTTATTCTACAAAGACCTATAAGTGTGCTTCTAAAAATTTTCGTGGTATGGCTACACTATTACCCAGTGGCAGATCCAGGGTTCGGCCAAGGTCACGGGGTGGCGGAGGGGTGCAGGAACACTCCCTGCTCCCAGCGTTCTCCCCCTTCCACCTGCTGGTGCAGGCAGGCTGTGTCATGGGAGACCCTGGGGACTTTTTCTAAAGTCCCCAAAACACATATGGATCCCTCCCCCTTTCCTTTCCTAGGCTGTTGGGAGCAGCAGCAACAATGATGGGCGGAGGGGTTCCTCCTCCCTGCACCTGCTTCTGGCAGGACCAAGCAGGGTTGGGGAACCCACCATCCCACCCATTGCTGCTGCCGCCCCGTCACTGTTTCCAGCTGAGCTCAGCCCTTGCGCAGCTGGACTGGAGTGGGCAGGAGCAACTTTGAAGCTTCCTCTACCCTGGGACAGCAGGGAAAGCAGCAGCAGCAGACAAGGGAAGAGATGAAGGACAGAGGAAAGGACATGGCCTCGAGGATGGAGGGGAAGGATGGATTATTACATGCTTTAGAGACTTTAAAAAAGTCCCCAGAGACTCATGTTTTGGTCCATGTCATTGCTCCCTGTCATGGGGCGGGCCCTACGAGCAGCCGTGGTCTTGCTAGCGCCCCCCTGCCGTGCCAAATTAGGAGATCCAGCACCCTCTTATTCTCGCCCGCCACGTCTTTGATCTTATATAATTTAATGTGGGAGGCTGCCTTTGGTCTCCTAATCTCGATAGGTGACCTGGTGCACCCCAGCCTTATGGGCTATTCATGCCTCCTACCTCCCCTTCAGTACGCCCCAAGCCTCGCAGCTGTTCCAGACGTTGTCTAGTCCCTCGTGCCTTGCCTGGCACCTTGGGCTTGTCACGCAACCCACGTCCTTCCTCGGGCGCCCCTGGGCTTGTCACGTGACTGACGCCCCTTGCTCTAGCGCCCCTGTGTTCGCTAGCCCTTGCCCCTCTCTGGGGCCTACTCGTGGGTTCACCCTTCTTCAGGCTCTATTGCCCGCATCAGCGCGCCTCGGGCCTCCACCCGCGCGCTCACCCTACTCCCGGCCTTTACCCACGTGCCCTGCCCTCTCCGGGCTTCTGCTCACGTGCTCTGCCCTTCCGGGCTCTTTAGACTTGCCCTCGCCCCTTTCAGGGGCTTCCCTAATCGACTCACCCTTGTCTAGGGGTTCTCCCATATCCTCGTCCTCACTGGACGCTCTAATCTTATACGTGACCTTCTCCGGGCTTCTAACCGCGCCTTTCTCTTCCTGGCCCCGATCCGCACATCCGCCCCTCTCCAGGCTTTACTCACGCACCTGCCCCTCTCCAAGACTCTGAACCACGCGCTCGCCCTTCTCCGGGGCTTCTATACAAAACCAGTGCGGCTCTAATCTTATACTAGCCCTCACCAGGCTTCACTCTTGCGCGCTCACCCTCCCTGGGGCCTGTGCCTGGTGCTTCCCGCACTCGTCCTGCCTGCACTCGGGCCTATGTCCGCGCTTCTCGCGCCCTCGCCCTTCTCTGGGGCCTATGTCCGCACTAAACCGCGCTCAGGGCTCAGGTGGCCTGTAGCTGTGCATATCCCCCTGACCCTTCTTGGGGTCCTTCACCCTACTGGGCCAAATACCGCCCTCACGGGCTGGGGTCTCAACCCCCACACACCGCACTACACTGGCACCAAACAGCTGTGCCTCCCAGGCACAGCTCCGTGCCCAAACAGGGCACCCAGGAAACCCCCCCCCAGACTCCTGGGGATCTCCTGTGAGGACACTGCGTCCCACCGGCACCAACCAGCCATGCCTCCCTGGCACGGCTCAGTGCCCAAACAGGACACCCAGGAAACCACCCCCCCAGACTACTGGGGATCTCCTGTGAGGCCTCCTCACACCCCTACAGCCTCACCCAGTCCTCCAGTGTAACATCAAACCCAACAAAACTTAAAGCCCTAAGCCCACCAGCTGCAACACAAAATCAGCCTACCGGCTATAACATAGATAAGCCTCCTGGCTGGTCCTACATAAACCAAACACAAGCCATGAGCCAACTGGCTATACCCTCCATTAAGCGCCTCCCTGGCTACTCTCCATCTCCCAGTCAGGGCTCTCTCCACCGCATACCATAATGCCAATACTCGGGTGGTCAGGCTGCTCTGCCCTACAGCAGAGCCTCCTGCTGTTCTGGCTGCCAGAGGGGGACTGACTCTGGCCTCAGCCTTCTCTGTTTATAAAGGCCAAGCCCTGCCCCCTGGCGGTCAGCTGACCCAATCTGTTGCCGAAGCAACCTTCAGCTGTGCTGCCCTGCTGATTGGCAGCCAAGCCTTACTGCCCATGCTAGCAGCAGGCACCCTAGTGTCCTGCTACACACCTTCCCCCCCGGGGTTGAGCCTCTTTAGGAGCGGGGCGCGGAAGTGCCCCGCGACACACCCCTCTGGTTCTGCCTCTGCTATTAGCAAAGGCAGCACCCACACTTCTCCTTTAGCCAAAGCCACTGACTATCCATATTTGAAACCCCCTAGCTCACTCCTGGAAATGTTTTATCCTGCCCCTGGAACCTCTTCTGAACCTAGAATCATAGAATCATAGAAGTAGGGTCAGAAGGGGCCTTTTAGATCTTCAAGTCCGATCTTCAAGTTTTCTCCTGGGCAGGAGAAAAAACTGGACTCAAATGATCCCAGCTAG